GATTCTCTTGCCTCAGCCTCCTGAGTAGCTGGGACTACAGGCGCGTGCCACCATGCCTAGCTATTTTTGTATCTTTTGATAGAGTCAGGATTTTCCATGTTGGCCAGGCAGATCTCGAACTCCTGACCTCAGATGATCCGCCCACCTCAGCCTCCCAAAGTGCTGGTATTACAGGTGTGAGCCATGGCACCTGGCCAATACACTGAGAAATTTTTATTTTCCTTTTCAGCTTAAGGTTACACCTTCCCCGCCATCCAAAACAGCGCTTTCATTTTTTCTAATTTCTACCTCATCACTTGCAAAAACCATATTTTTCTCCACATTCATTCCCAGTAGCTTCCTGACTCCTAGTTCTTCCCTAAACCTTTCTGAGTCCTTGTCATTGGTTTCACTTGAGTAGCCTTTCTAATCAACACAGTCATTGGTGTCAGTTACTGTGACATGGAAGGGACAGACCAAGTTCTGTGGGCCGCTGTGTAGAAGGATTTCCTGTCACTTTGCTGCAGAACCTCAGCTGTGCTGCGGAGAGCAAGCCCCTTTGCTTGCCTTGTAGAAATATTTTAAATTATTATCTTTTTTTTTTTTTTTTTTGGTAACAGAAATAAATAGGAGATACATTAGAGGATTTTCTCTCCTAGATGTGTAAATACAAACTTGGGGTCTTATAACTCAATAAATCTGATAAATTTCTTTAGACTGTTAGGATAGAGCAGTGGCCATCCCAAAAGCCTCATCTCCAAAGCTGCAGTGCAGATACTTTTTACTACCTTGAAGTTTTTCCCACTTGTGAACAACTTGTGAATAATTCCCCCTGAGAATTTGGAAAATCACTCTCTGAAAGCACAGTCAATACTGTGCTTAAATAGATCTGAGCGAAAATAAGTCACTTAGAAGACAGGATTATTTCTAGGCTTGAGCATGACTTGACTGAAGGTCTAAAGAACGAACACCTCCTTCACTTCCATTGATCACGGTGGATGCACAGGGAAAGGAGAGACACGGAGGCAAGTTGGAGTAGTGCTCATCTAAGTTCCAGGGATGCGGGGGAGTGGCCAGGGGACTTCGAGTGTAGTACATAAATAACCTGTTTATAAGTTATGTCAATATCATGTTTGAAATAGAAAACCAAATACTGCATGTTCTTACTTATAAGCAGGAGCTAAAGTTGGTGCATATGGATATAAAAATGAGAACAGGCTGGGTGTGGTGGCTTGTGTCATAATCCCAGCACTTCGGGATACCTAGATGGAAGGATTCCTTGAGCTCAGGAGTTCAAGACCAGCCTGAGCAACATAGTGTGACCCCCATCTCTACAAAAAATAAGAAAATTAGCCAGACGTGGTGGCGTATACCTATAGTCCCAGCTACTCGGGAGACTGAGGCAGGAGGAGTGCTTGAGCTCAGGAGTTTGAGGTTACAATGAGCTGTGATCATGCCACTGCGCTCCAGCGTGAGTGACAGAGTGAGAACCTGTCTCAAAAAG